GATGTATTGATTTAATTTAATAAATTTGTATTATCACCTGATTTGTGAATTTAAAATTAGACAATCTTACTTTTGAATAGTACAGTTTATAAGTAGGGTTTTGGATAATTTTTCCCAAATTTAAATATTATTGTTATGTGATTTTGGCCCAACACACTGAATGCATTAAAGGCCCATTAGAGACGATTGTAACACTCATTGGCCCACACATATATAGCAATGATCTTCAAGGGATTTGATATGAGATTCCAATGCAGGATTCAGAAAAGGATGCTGAGTTGGTAAGTAGTTTTTCAATTATATAAGTTAAATAAATTGAAAAAGCAATAGCTCCGTTTAAAAAAAAAATGAAATTCATGTTGGTGTAAATTATTTATTTTTTAAATTTTTTTCATTTTCAATCAAATTTATGTGATCTTTTATTAAATTTTACTATATCGACACAATAAAATACTATAAAAGCATTAAACAATTCACTTTATGAAAAAATAAAATATATATATACCCAAATTTAATTGTTAATAGGTGTTTTTGTCTATACATTAATTAATTTGGAAAATTAACTTAATTTTGTCAATTGTCTTTATTACAACCGGTTCGACTTTTGAACCCTTGACCCTTTAACTTTTTCGGGTCAACAGTCGGGCTGGTTTTCAAAACATGGCTAATTTTCCTTTACTTCTTTCATTATAAAAAATTGCACAATTAGTCCCTATTCTTTAAAACTATAGAAAACGCGTCCTTAAACTTTAAAATTGGACCTTTTAGCCCCTAGCCTTTTCTTTCATCTGTATATTTTATCCTTTTTTACATGATTCCACCAAGGTTTTTTGGCCACCCACCAAATCCAAAATCCTGCTCTGCTTGAAATCCCAACTATTTTATAAATCAGTTCGAATATTGACATTATAGAAGCAAATAGTTAAGGTTCAAATAATTAAGCTTACAGTAAAATAAATAAAAATAATATTTTCAAACTAACTGGATGGTTTACAATGTGAAGAAAGTGCTTTCAGCCTAAACTGGATGATTCTTAGATGATTTTAGTGAATTTTAAATATTTTTTTTTTGATACTGAGAGTTTGTTTGAGTCCCACTTTTTGCCTAAAATACATTTTGAAATAGTTTTTTAATGAAAAATGTGTGGTTAAAAAAATAAGAAATTTTTTTGGATTTGTATTTAATATTATTTTATTTAAATATATGTAATTGAAATAAGAGAGAAAATATATTTTGAAAATAATGAGGACCAACAAACATTGAATCTTTTTGCTAACATAGAAAGACTAATTTGATGGTGGTGTATTGTATATTGAAAAAAGCTGTTTGAACAGTCTCAGTGACACACTGTTTCCATGGGTTGAAATAGCAGCCCCTATGATGCCGATTGTGATGACAAGAACAGTAAAGAGGAAAAGAGAGTAAGAAGCTAAGAATGAAGGGAGATAGTAGACTTATTCAATAATCAAGTGTGTTTATTACAATTTAAGAACCTCAATTTATAGGTTCCAAATAACGATAAAAAGGAAAATTGCAATAGAAAGGAAAAACTAGAGTTTCCTTCAGTTTAAAAGGAAACAAATTTATTATTCTACCAAAACATGAAAATGCAATAATGAAAATTTGATCTTTAATTGATTTGATTCCGATTACTTCTAGAATATACTTTCCAATGTGCATCATTGGAAAAATAAATAGTTAAGGTTCAAATAATTAAGCTCACGGTAAAATAAATAAAAATAATATTTTGAAACTAACTGAAAGGTTTACAATGTGAAGGGAGCACTTTCGGCCTAAGCTGGTTGATTCTTAGATGATTTTAGCGAATTTTAAATATTTTGTTTCGTACTGAGCATTTGTTTGAGTCCCACTTTTTAAAATGCATTTTGAAATAGTATTTTAATGGAGAATGTGTGATTAAAAAAATAAGAAAAAATTTTGAATTTGTGTTTAATATTATTTTATTTAAAAATGTGTGGTTGAAAATAAGAGAGAACAAAATATATTTAAAAAATAATAGGGACCAACAAAAATTGAATCTTTTTGATGACATAGAAAGACTAATTTGATGGTGGTGTATTGTATATTGGAAAAAGTTGTTTTAATAGTCTCAGTGACACGTTCTGTTTCAATGGGCTGAAATGGCAGTCCTTGTGATGCCGATTGTGATGACAAGAACAATAAAGAAGGAAAAGAGATAAGAAGCTAAGAATGATGAGAGATAGTAGATTTATTCAATAATCTAGTGTGTCTATTACAATCCAAGAACATCAATTTATAGGTTCCAGATAGTAATAAAAAGGAAAACTGCAATAGAAAGGAAAACTAGAGTTTCCTTTTGTTTAAAAGGAAACAAATTTATTATTCTACCAAAACAAGAAAATGCAATAATGAAAATTTGATCTTTAATTGATTTGATTTCGATTACGCCTAGAATACACTTTTCAATGTGCATCATTCCTCTCGGTTGAAAAGAACTTGACTCCGACGAGGTATAATCCAGATAGGCATCTAAAAGTGTGTCATCCAGTTGATGAAACTCAACTTCATCAATCCAAATAACATCACTAGATGAGCAACCTTTCTAACGTACTAGAAATCGACGAAAACCACCATTCTGCGAAACAACAAACTGATCATCAAGTATCTCATCAATGACATCCTACAGAGAAAATGTGGTAACATGAGCTCGAAAAGGCAACGAAGAAGACTATCCAATAGAAATGTTAGGCGACAATACTGGGGCCCAAACGTGCCTCGATATGGATATGAATTTGCTATATTGAAAACAAGACTAATATTTAAGTGCGTTGGCAGCTCAAGTAGAAAAGCATTAGTTCCAAGCCGTTTAATGATGGGGAAAGGCCCTAGTGATCTAGCACAAAGTTTCTTAGCAGCATGTTTAGGGAATCATTGAGGTGCAAGTCAGATCATGACATAATCGCCCACGTTAAATTCTTTATGCCTACGTGGGGATCAGTAGATATATGATCAGCAAAAACTTGAGCAGAGGCAATAATACGAAAATCAGGGGGCAAAGGGATTAGATCAAGCGGCTGGCGAGGAGAGAAACCCTGAACAACCTCAAAGGGACTATGATCAGTAGATCTATTAACATAATTATTGTAAGAAAATCAGTGGTGGGCAACACAAGATCCTAATTCCCTGGTTTATCCCCCAACTAAGCAATGAAGTTGATTACCCAAACTACGATTTACAACTTCAGTTTGACCATCGATTCGGGAGTGAAATGCAGAAGAGAACTTAAGCGTCGTCCGGACTATGATCAGTAGATCTATTAACATAATTATTGTAAGAAAATCAGTGGTGGGCAACACAAGATCCTAATTCCCTGGTTTATCCCCCAACTAAGCAATGAAGTTGATTACCCAAACTACGATTTACAACTTCAGTTTGACCATCGATTCGGGAGTGAAATGCAGAAGAGAACTTAAGCGTCGTCCCAAACAATTTCCATAGTGTCTTCCAGAAGTAGCTAATAAAACTTAACATCACGATCAAACACGATAGAGACCGAAAGCCTGTTGAGACGAACAACTTCTTTGAAGAACAACTTAGCAACATGGGACGCATATTAAGACTTGGAGCATGGAATGAAGTGTGCCATTTTAGAGAACCTATCGACCACCACAAGAATAGAATCATGACCTCGAGCTATTTTAGGTAACCTGAGAGCGAAGTCCATAGACACTGAGAGACAATGCGAGCAACATCTCTTTTATGGGATGGCCAATAAAATCGATCATCAATTAAGGCAACTATTTTATCCCGACCAAAATGACCAACAAGACCCCCTGCGTGTAGTTCCCAGACTAGGAAGTCACGAAGTAACGTACAGGGAATACATAAGATAACCATCTTTAAGCAAGAAAGAAACATGGTCGCGAGAAGGATTGTCTAAAAGGTCCTGAAAGATGGTGCCAAAGTTAAGACAATTAGGATAATGGTCCTTCAAGCGCTCAAATCCGATTACAGTAGTGCTCATCAACTGAAGCATTGTAGTGAGATGACTAAGAGCATCAGCAGCTTTGTTTTCAACCCCGGCCCGATGATGGAGATCAAAAGTGTACTTTTGAAGAAATTTAACCCACTTGACATGTTGTTCACTTAAATGATGCTGGGAGTTAAGGAAGCGAAGAGCCTGATGGTCAGAGTACAGAACAGACTCACGAGACAATAAGTAATATCGCCAATGACGAAGAGATTGGACAACAACATAAAACTCCTTATCATAGGTGGAATACTTCTATCGAGCATGGTTTAATTTTTTGCTAAAATAAGCGATGGGATGACCTTCCTAACTTAAGACACCTTCTATATTTACATCGGAAGCATCACACGCAACCTCAAAAACCTTAGAAAGATCGGAGTGTCATAAAACATGAGCCTCGGTCAATTTCTGCTTAATAACTAAGAAAGCTCCAACGAAAATCCCCTTTTTTCATACACTCAGTGATGGGTGCACTAATAGTGCTAAAACCATTAATGAATCTCCGATAGAACGATGCTAGCCCATAAAAGATACGAATTTTGATTAAGGTGAAAAGTTCCGACCAATCATGAATAACAGAGATTTTAGCTGGATCAGCAAAAATATCCTGGGCGAAAATGATGACCTCTAAGAAGAGGACTACAGGTCGGAGGAATGAACATTTTTTTTAGGTTAGCATATAGCTGTGCAGAACGAAGGGTAAGGAAGTCATGTCGGAGATGATCTACATGAGCTAAATCAAGATGTCATCAACATAGTTGACGATAAACTTTCCAATAAAAGGTCGCAATACATGGGTCATGACCTGTAAGAAAGTGCTAGGCGCATTAGATAATCCGAAAGGCATAACCAACCATTCGTACAACCATCATGGGTCTTGAATGTCATTTTCCATTCATCCCCTGGTCTAATCCTTATTTCATGATACCCACTCCGTAGATTAATTTTTGAAAACCACAAAGACCCTGCTAACTCATCCAACATATCCTCAAGTCGTGGGGATAGGAAATCGGTAGATAATGGTGATTCTGTTGATGGCGTGACTATCAAAACACATGTGCCACGATCCGTCCTTCTTTGGGGTGAGTAAGACTGGAACTGTACTAGGGCAAAGCCTAGGACAAATAAAACCTTTATTGAGTAAAGTTTCAATTTGTCTATTGAGTTTAGCTTGGTCAGCAAGGTTCATTCTAGAATGGGGTCGATTTGGCAGCTGAGAGCCAGAGAAAAGGTTGATAGCGCGTTGAATATCCCGCATAGGAGGAAGCTCATCAGGTAGGTTGGTAGGCATAACATCACTAAATTTGTTTAGAGAAGTGACCTCGGGTGGAAAGTCAGTGTGAGAATCAAGAGTGGTTTGTGAGCATGCTCTAGCAACCAAGGCAAACATAAGCCCGGTGTCCTGACCTTCACGCTCGAAGTCTTTAAAAGATAATAAGTGAAGACAAGCGTCGATGACACCTTTGGGCATATGAGTGGGTGTTGCTTTCTTTGGGGGGTTCGAGGGTTTGGCCGGTAAGAGATGAATAGTTTTGCCATTGTGAAGAAATTCATAAATGTTGTTACGCCCAAAATGCATAACATCATGATCATAAAGCCAAGGACGACCTCACAGGACGTGAGCAAAATCCACGGGTAAGATATCACAGTAAATTTTCTCTAAAAAAGGGGACTGAACTTAAGGGGTACTAGATAACGGTGAGTGACGAGCAACGAGGTTCGATCTGCTCACGCTACCTTAAACGGGCGAGGATGTGGTTCGATCTTGAAGCCGAACTTGGCCACCGCGGACTTAGAGACGACATTCATTATGTTACCACCGTCAATAACTAACTTGCATGAACGAGAGTTGCATGGAATTAATGTATGGAAAATAGAAGTTTGCTTCCACGAGTCAGAATCAATAGGTATGGAAATGATACATCTCATAATAAAGACAACAGCCATAGCATCTTTATAACCCTCAAATTGGTCAAGATTCTCATTAGAATGGTCAATAGGGTTGACCGTGAAACACTCATTCTCTGGGTTGGAAATAGGGGTTCTTGTGCAAGAGTAAGGACGATTGGGACGTTAAGAGGCAATATGACCACGAGCATGACAACTATGGCATACGATTTGAGGGTTAGGACCTCAAGTGGTGGCTGGAGAAGCAAGATGACCCCCAAAAGGGTTGTGAGGAAGGGGAGTGGAGGAAGATCCCACAATTGAGTGGGTCTGGCTTAATGTAGTGCTACTAGTAGGAGCACCAGTCAGAGGGGGTCGAGAGAGACACGAGACAGGTAAGGTGGAAAGGCCAAGGCAGCGAATATAAAGAATGGGAGTATCGCTCGTGTTCAAGTGCTTTGTGTAAAGCATCCTTTAACGAGTCGAGATTGAGGATAAGAACTTGATGTTCGAGGTCTAGGCGTAGGCGATTAAAGAACCTAGTAATTGTGACATCCTCAGGTTCAGCAAGGTCGGAATGGTACTGTAACTCGTTAAAATGAGTCCTATAATCGACATAGTAGATGAGTTTTGCCTATGGTTAAGAAGACATTCCAAGAGCTGAGATCAATGGTAAGATGGTACGTGCTTCTCAGTGAGTTTCAGTTTTATCTCTTCCCACATAATATTAGGCTAGCCTAAGTAGTCGAGGGATTGTGTCACCATCTGCCAATAGCGTTTAGTAGATTTAACGAGTTTCATCTTGGCAAAACGAATACACTTATAATCAGGCATTTGTTACCTATCGAAGTATTCTTCGATGGCATTGCACCAATAAAGAAAGGCTTCGGGTTCCAAATAAACATCAAATTTTGGGGCGTCAACTTTAACTTTCCTAATAACGTCATCAACAGGATCCCTATGTTGTTCATAACGAGGATGTGGGAGATCAGGACGAAGGACATTATTGACAATTGGGTCACGAAGTTTCGGATCAAGAATGTGTTGTGTAGGGCCAAGATTGTGTGGATTAGGTAGTATGTCATCTGGGGTGCGGAGGAGTGGTTCGTGGATGTTTTGACCAACTGTGGAGGAATTGGATAAATCATCCATAGGATGTTTTCCCAAGTTCCGAGATGACTGCCCCATTTGTTCAGTAAAATTTTAGATAAGAGTTTTAAGTTTAGCGAGGTTCGATTTCACTAAAGTCATATCAGATAAAAGGCTTGTGACTTACTGTGACAAAGCATCATGAGAAGTGACAAAAATTTTTAAAATGTGATAGAAAATTTGTCCAATCAAAACCAATGCTTGTCATCAAAAAGAAACAGAAATTTTAAAAAAGTAACAAAAAAAAAAGAAGTGACAAAAAATTTTAGAATGTGATAGAAAATTATAATAAAAAGTGATAAGCACAATTAAAAAAAAAGTTAGAAAAATGCAAAAAAATTGGAAAACACTAAAAAAAAAAAGTAACAAGACATTAATCAAAACACCTATGTTTATCACTAAAAAAGTTTAAAAAATTAAAAAAAAAATGTAACAAGCAATAAAAGTGATGTTTATCACTAAAAAGTTAAGTGGTAAACATCACTTTTTACACTAAAAAAAAGTGATAAAAATTTTTAAAAAGTGACAAACACTAAAAAAAAGTGACAAATTCAAAAAAGTGAAAAAAAAAACACGAATTAAAATTCGGAATCGGTAAAGACATGGAAATAAAAAATGAAATAAAAAGTGACACAACCGCCGTCCCTCATCTTTCTCCGTTCACTGCCAAAGATCCTTAAGTTAATTCACCAACAAAATACCAATCAAAAGAGTGATAAACATTCAAAAAAGTAACGTAAATTCAAAAAAGTGTCAAAAAAATAACAAAACATAAATCAAAACCTTAAAATATATCATTATATGCAAATTCAATCATTCCATCACCGCCGCTGCCGCCACCATTCCACCTCCACCAAGGCTAACCTTGCAAGCAAAAGGTCACTCAAAACATTACATCAAACACCAATCTTTGGTTTCAGTCGAGACTTCATAAAAGAATATATAAGCACCAAAACATGACATTTGCATTCAGTAGCTATTCTATTCTACCAAGAAATCATTTGTTAAAGAAATAAACACGTAATGACAAGGAATCAAGAGGACTTAAACCAGAGGCTCCATCACACCTATTGTCCAACCAAACTAAAATGACTTTCTTTTTCATTTCTTTCATGAATACTTGTTCTACATAATAGTTACTACATTTTTTCTAAAGTTTTCATACTTGAGCTAAAAAGGGACAGTTAGAATATGAACAACGCTAAATACGAGAGTTACAACCTTGCTCGATACAGAAAGTTACAAGAAATAGAAATTGCTTTGCAGCAATCGAATCACCAACAATTCAATCGGGCTGCTGGATAAATTGGGAGCTGCATTTTAGGCTAACGTGCTTAGCTTGCTTTTCCCAATACATTGCAGTTAGTTCCCTTGGAGACCCGGGACCCCTCCTTTTTGATATGTTCGATTTCTTGATCAATGCCTTGCCATCCTTTTCTAAACCTGACATCCATACCAAAATTTAGGGATGGCAATCAAACTCGTTGGCTCAGGCCGGCCATGACTTAGCCTGTAAAAAGCCCGAGCCTCGAGCCCCATTTTGGGATGACGGGGTGAGCCCAAGCTAGCCTATGTGGCTTATCGGCTCGGGCTCACGGGCCTATTTAAAAAAAAAAAAAAACTAGTTCAAGCCTAAAATAGGCAGCAAGCTGCTGCCTTTTTTTAAGCAACCAAGTGCTGCCTTAAAAAAATCGAGCCTGCTTGATTCGACATGTTAAGACCGAGCCAAAAGCTCAAACCAAGCTCAAATTTTTTGCTCGGCTCGACTCGGGCTCGTAAAAAAGCTTGGACCAGTTTACCCAAGCCTCGAGAGTCGGCTCGAATTGACTCGTTGACACCACTACCAAAGTTACAGTAAACGAGTACAAAATATTAGTTAGACTTAAAAAAATACGATAAAACGAATAAAATGTAGCACAAGAATTTTGTAATACCATTTCCGTTGTCAAATATGTGAACGTAATCACAAGATCAGTATTTAGTAGATAATATTAGTATTAAATATATCACAGTAAGCACTGGCTAAGTAAAAACAAACTAATATTCCTCATCACCAATTGTTGTAAGCAAGGGCATAATACCAACTATTATTAGACATTTTGACACTAACTATAAAAGCAGATATTGTATTCGCCCTAAGGCATGTCAAATAGCATCTAATCAAAGTACTAGAGCAACACTTCACCACAGTAAGCAAACAAACATGATATTTAGATGCCCATTCTAATAAGTAATCACATTGCAGTATTTATCTTCAAAAAAACAAAAATATAGTACAGCAAATAGTCCATAAAGAAGGTTTTATAATTAACTCTGTTGATCATGACTGAAGAAATAAAGAAAGATCACCTAAGAGAATCTTCCTAGCATTTCATAAACAAAAAGTCCACATAGCATTTTACACAAAACAAAACTTTACTGTTAAACCTCACAAAGTATTTATGACACGATCCATCCCGAATCACCCTAGTGGACTCGAAACGTGACGTGCGCAGATGATAAATGTTGACTAGATGTCCAATCTATCACCAAAGCTGACTATGAGTTATTTCAAAAAAATGTAACAAAATCAAATGCTTATGTAAAATATAATGCGGTGGGCCCAAAATATTTACTTCGTGCTTCATTAATATGACATGTCGTGTGACTCTCATTCCGAAATCATTAGGCTCTTCCAACTAAAAAGAATCAATTGCTACCTGTAGGAAAAATCGTGGAAAAATATATGAGTTGATAGCTCAGAGAGTGGAGAAATTCGAAAATAATTATACTTTTTCAATTTTACATTTCTATCGAAAATCGAGTTCATATCATTTAATAATTCACAAGATAACATCATGTAATTATAACCAAAAGTGAAATATTCACATAAGGTCGTAAAATATCATCTCAAAATCATGATATAACATCAGTTGATAATCATGCTATAATCTCATCACATCAAACGTGCTGAAAAATCCACAAAAAATGTACCCTCTGACTGAAATATATAATCTGCCTCTCGGGTTAAGAACTTTCGCCACAGGCCTTTGACCCCTCCGTGAACGAAAGTCGGTCTCGAAGACCTCTCATAATTAATTCTAGAACACGGTCAAAACCCCTCTGTGAACTATATGTACACGATCGGAACCAATGTTAGGTCAAGACCCTCCGTGTAGGATAGAACACGGCCAGGGCCCCTCTGTGAACTAGAAGAAGTATATAATCATAGGTAATTTTCTGACCGATCTCAATATCATATCTCACATACCAAACAAATCTCAATATCACATGTCTCATATACCAAGTCACAAATGTACAATAAATAATTCTCGAAATTTCGCATGGATCATAATAAAGAAATTTCCATAATAACCATGTAATTCGAACATATAATTGCACATACTTTAACAATAAACTTAATTTATAAATACTTTAAAAATATTTATATTTTTCCACTTACTGTACAATATTCGCAAAATCAACCCGATTGGTAAACTGTTTTGATATCAGTATCGTTGCCTGAAATACGATATAATTTTTAAATAAATAATTAATTATTTTAAATAATTTCAATAATTAAATAGGCGACATCCAAAGTTAATCATTTCACGTTTAAGCGATTTTCTAAAATCTCTTTAATCACTAAAAATAGTTTTTCTTTTATCTTACTCAATTTCATAGTTTATTATACTTAACCCCTTCAATAAAATTGAATTTAATCTAATAATCTAACAACTATAAAATCAAACATAACTTGACAATAAGTAATTTTTTACTTACCTTTCAAAATTGAGGAATTCAAGCCTAATAATGTAGACCACTTAATTCCTAACACGTTGACAAATTTTATTTTTTTTTGTTTCTTCTTCTTCCCTTTTTTTTTTTCCTCTCTCTTTTCTCTCTTCTCTTTCTCTTTTATTCCTGCCCGTCTCCCAGCTCTCTCCTTCTCTGGTGTGTATAAATCATATGAAAATGGGAGATTAGCTAGTAAGTTGCCACTTGTACTCCACCAATCCATTTTTGCAAAGAAGTCCCTCTTCTTCAATTAAATATGACATTTAATCATCTAACTTCCATTAATAAAAAGTAAATCCCCAAAATTTAATTTTATCTATCATAAACCTTCAAATGGTGTCAATTTGTAAAATAAACCTTCAAAAATAATTTGGTCAGTTCACGTCCCACTAAAATGATTTACTTCAATTAATTTCTTATTTGATTTTGACTTTGACCAGTCAAATATTTGACTTTGAATAAATAATATTGACCTTTGACTAGTATGAAATGGGGTGTAACAATTTATAATTGGGTCGAAAAAGATTTAAATTCCAATCTTATGCCACCATATACATGTTCAATGGAAAAATATAGCAAAAAATCCAATTGATAGCACATTGACTGAAAAATAACAAAATTCACAAAGGAAAAGAACCTTATTATATCCCAAACCCGTTGCCATAAGCCGAATTTCATATTTAAAATCCTTAGTTATATCTAAAACTTTTGCCTTTCCTTCTCCGTCAATACTATTATAAACTAATAAATCTTCACAATCATTTGAAATCCTTAAAATGTCAAAAAAAGAGAAATGTATCAAAACTCGAATCGAATACAAATATTTCAACCGAAAAAGAAAAGGAAGGACTAGATCAATAGCTCTTACCTTTAATGATGCAAAATAAAGCAACAAACTTTAATAAATAGTCTACAGAGGGAGAAATAATTATCAATTTGAAACACTAAAGCCGCCATGGAATTATTCATCGGTTGGCGATTGTTTTTTTGCCCTATATTTTTAATACGAAGAAACTTGAGTAGAGGATTTTGTGGGATTTTGGAATTTTTGTCCATAATCGATAATGAGCATTATGTTGTTTTGGGATTTTGACGGAATTTGGGCGTATGTATTACGGGATTAAACATTTGAATTAGTTTTAATAGTATTATTCTAATTTCTTCTTTTTTGGGGGGGGTAACGAGCCTCATTTTCCCAAATAAATAAGGTCATCAAGGGCAGATTTAGTCCTGAGCTGGCCTGGGCTATAGTCCAGACTAATCAGGCCCAAAACCCTTTTTTACGAATTTTTTTAGTGTAAAAAAATTTATGTGTAATTATTTTATATATTAGCTTAGTAATAATGATGATGATAATATGGGATAATTGTTGCATCAGTTCCAAACCTTTTGATCTTTGACAGGTTTTACCTTAACTTTCACTTTGTGCCAACCATAGCACCAAACCTTTCAAATATTTGCATTTAGAATCCAAATAGATGATTCCTATTAGTTTGGCCATTAGTTGACCTAATGAATTTGACTTTCACTAATTTTAAAATGTGTAAAATGGTAACTTTGCATTTTATATATAAATGAAAATTATTAAATTAAAAAAACCAAAAAAATAAAAAACACATATGAACCATCATGTTCCCTATCCCCTACTCGCTCACCTATGCCATCCCTCTGGTTCTTCAAAATTGGCCTAAGATGGTTAGTCCATTGCAGATGGCAACATTTACCACATCGGGAAAGGCCCGAGTGTTACTGGACCGCATTCCAGTTGCTTTCTTCGTGCTTCTTCACATAGTCCACCAAAATTGCATCTTCTGCGGACGTCCATGGCCCTTTCTCCAGAACAAATCCTCCATTTGAACTCCCTTCATCACTACCACCTTCATCAAACAAAGCTGAATCAGTAGACCGTATTTGATCCACCATAAAGTCAAAGTATAGAGAAAAATGGAAGACTCAAAGGCGATGACAATGGCGCAGCATTTCCTTATCTTGCAACAACTTCAGCGCCAGAAACAGCAGTAAGACGCCATTTCTCAATTACCATACAACATTAATGCTCATTTGCGCCCTCCTCAGCGCCATCTCCTTCACCACCGCCCCCTGCTTTTCATCAACCTCAACACCAACACGCTCCATCTCAAATCCCTAATTTTAATTCGATCACCAATTTGCGAGAGGTTTTTCTTCTTTGGAGTGTGAGGAAGTGGAAGGAAGAATTAGGAAGGAAATGTTGGCGGGAAAAGTAGTAAAGTCGGTGGAGGAGGGCGGCGGAGGTGGTGGCGTCGGGGACGAGTAAAACAGGACCAACTGATTTGGGATTGAATAATCCTAAGTGTATAGGGTTAATTATGCCAGATGTTTTACATATGCTTACGTGCAGGACCCGCCTCATTAAAAAAATCGACCCCACAATATTTGTATGTATTTTGGCAAAACTTGTAAGAGGCGGTTCTGTACGTAAAGCACGACTGTTTTGGGTTTAGGAGGGCAAGAGAAGATGAATAGTGATTAGGTTTTGATTTTTGATTTTTTTTTGTTTTTTATTATAAAATGCAAAGTTACTATTTTACCCATTTTAAAATTAGTCAAAATTAAATTTATTGAGTCAACTAAGGTCAAAATAACAGAATTCATTTATTTAGACCTCATGTGCTAATTTTTTAAAGGTTTGGAATTGTGAGCGGCACAAAGTAAATGTTAAGATAAAGTTTGCAAAACATCAAAAGGTTTGAGGATGCTGCTGCGATTATCCCTAATAATCATAATAGTGCAGCCCTAGCACCACCCCTAAAATAAGCTGACTTCTAATTTTTCAAAATTCAGCCAAACAAGATCAGATCAATTTCAAATCCATTGTTCTTATTAGACAACTACAGAAGTAAGGTTCAAAAGTTAACAACAATTCAAATCCAATGTTCTTATTAGGCACGTAACAGGGAACTAAAGGAGTATGAATTCAACACAATATAAAATTGCAAATGCAAATGAAATTACATAGTATCTCTTATTCAAGCAAGTGCAACAAGACTGCGAAGAGAAGCCATCACTCCATGCATCTAATCTTCATCATGTATTCATCATCCTTGGAATTGTTGTCGATGAATCATCTGTGCGCACAAATTGTGCTGTCAATTAAATGAAAAAACAATTTTAAAACTAAAAGTATAATTGTTTTTCATTAAATTCTTTGCCTGCAATTACTAGTCGGTCATTTGACACATTTCTGTAGTTTGTTTCATCGAATATCTGAACAATCTAAAAGATCTTTTGTACAATCGGTTACAAATGACGAAAATCTTTTGTACAATCAGAATTTGGCATCATATTAAACATCATCTTTCAGATTTTTATGATTCACATAATTGCTCGATGAACAACAAGCTTGGAGACTCTAACCTTATGGGTAAACTAATGTATAACACTACTGGTTTAGTAAAAAGAAGAAAAGAAAGCTGTTATGATGCTGCAATTCGAGATGAATAAACCAAATATCTAGGTCTTCAAAAAAAATATTTGCTGCTTAAGTTTTCAATATGACAAATATAAATAGAGAGTGAGAAGAACAAGTAGATGAAGATTTAGTACCTGGGAATGTAGCAATTCGGAGATTGAACAAATGGAGGTCATCATTTATCGTGATCAGGAGGATAAATGGAAAGTTTAAATTCCTTGCCTTGATTTGTTTGCGGATCTTCCTTATTCGTTCGAATTTTCTTCGCAGAAGTAGCTGCTTTATCGTTGGTCTCATACAACTCTATTGTCCAGAGGGTTGAAATATCCGCGAGGCCAAATGGGACCGTGCTGAGGTAAGTACATTGTTTAAGATGAAGACTCTTGAGATTTGGGAAGTGAGTACCAGAAGCTTCCCAATTAACTAAGTCTGTCTTTCCAATATACAAAATTTTAAGAGCACGAAAACCTCCATCTCCTGTGCACCAATGCTTTCCCTTGAATGCATTTTCTTTCAACTTGAGGACCTCTAGCTTTTCCAACATTCCCAATGTGGACATGTACATCCAATCAAGCTGGGTGCCATAGAGTGTTAGCTTCTTTAGGTTTGATGGAAATTTGACTGGAGGGCTAACTATTTTGCTTTTAGTATCTTGCGCATCAACCACATGATTGAATAGCTTCAAATTTTCAAGACAATTCAACTGTTTCACATTGTCAAACAAACTAGATCCACCCTTGACCTCAAAGAGTTTAGACAATTGACCACGAACACCCAACTCACTTAGATTAGGAACCCTTTCAACGACATCTTTTGAACAAGTTTCAGGTGATATAGTTGAAAGTGTTCTTAGGTTTATCAAAGAACCTTTTTTATTGTTTCTTTTTCTAGAGAAGGGGTCCGGAAAAGATGTGGATACGTTTGTTTCGAGATGTCTCAGTCGAACCATTTTCACTATATCTCCTTTGATTTCAAGGGCACTTTTTGACGTCTTGACTATAAGAGTTTGCATGTTCCAAAGGTTGGTAACGTATTTAGGAAGGCTATCAAATTGGATGGACAGAAAAAGGTACCTCAAATTAACCAGTAAAACTAGGTTAGCAGGAAAACGAGTGAAACGTATGGGTTCACCATCTAACACACACAGCAATTTAAATGTTTTGGGGAAGGAAGAAATGCTTGCAATTTTCGAAGTAATTTCGTCATTGGAAAAACACAAGAAAGACCGAACATATGAACCAAACTGTTCTGGAGATATATTGTTGAGAATGTTGGGCGGAATAGAAAGGCCACGGTACATTTTGAAGTCACCATTGGAAGATGAATCGGTAATTTGATCAGACCGTTTGATTTCGTGGTAAAAAATTTCATCTACTGCTTTTTTCTTGCAAAACGCATGTATCATGCCATGAACATAGCATGTTTTAATCCTGCCATCTGTCCTCCATTTTTCAACAATGACTAAATTCCTGTTGACAAGACATTCTAGATAGTCCTCCGCAGTATTCTCCAAGTGTATACCCCCCTTTCGTTGTACGAATTCTTCGGCAATCCACAAGCGAATTAGTTTCCTTGCCGAGATACGGTAACCTTCTGGAAGCACCCCAAAGTAGATGAAAACCGCTTTCAAGTCATACGGTAGTTGATTAAATATCCATTCAATAAAAGAGTCCGTGATCTTCCTTTGATCCATTTCAACAATATAATCCTTCACATTTTTGGAGATAACTTCCCAATGATAACTTTCAGGACCTTTTTCTTGTAGAATTCCTCCGATCACCGCTATCGCGAATGGTAGTCCACCACATTCAACAGCTATTTGCCTTCCATGTTTTATTAACTCCTGGGGGCATTCCTCCAAGCCAAATGCCTTCCTTTTGAGTAATGTCCAACTCTCATCAGGATCCAGAATACGCAAATGGTAGTATTCTAATTTACAATTGTCATTCTTACCCACATTCTTATCACGACTAGTCAATAGTATTCTACATTTTTTCTTGTTCTTAGGAAAAACATTTTGGAGATGATTCCAATCACTCTGAGTCCACACATCATCAAGGACAATTAAATACTTCGCTTCCTCCAAAGATCTCTTAAGTTTTCTAGCTAACCTATCTTCAGTCATGTTACGTATATCATCGGTGACATCGGTGATTTGATCCAGAATTGCAAGGAAAACTTCCTTCTTATTACAATCTTGAGAAATATAATCTCGAGAAATATGGGCCCATGCACGTTTGTCAAATTCATACACTGCAGGATCACGAAATATCATTTTAGCTAGTGTTGTCTTACCAAGACCTGGCATACCAACTATGGATACAACTTCTAGTTCGTCAGATTCTCTAGTAAGAAGATTAATAACTTTCTTTGCATCATCATCAAATCCCACGACATGGTCTTCCTCTACGATAGGAACCTATAGTATAGTAATGACGATCAAATCCAAAATGACATGACAATGTTTAAATGAAATAGGTATTAGAAACTCAAGGATATAAATAAATGAGATGAATACCTAAAGATACGTACATGTCTATGTCTATAAATTAAGCCCCCGTTTGAGCTCCATTATTTCTCATTACATTAAATTAAATTTTTCTCCTTCCTATTTTTAACCACACAATCTTCAATAAATTACACATAAATAAAAAAAAAATTTCAACCACGCATTTTTATTTAAAAAACACTATTCATCTCATTATAATGCCAAATAATGGGGCTCAAACACACCCTAATTGTAAAGTAGCATCACTACTCTCCAACTTTTACACGTAGTAACATATCCTTCTAAACTCGGCTAGACCGGATAATCTAGATTTTGTCCGGATGATTTACAATTAGAATTAGTTTTTAACTTTAAATGAGAATACATTTTAAAACTATAAATTTAGTAATTAACCCGTCATTTGGCCCCATCATTTCAAATTTTAATGGGTGAAATAGTATTTTTGTTGGAGAATGTGGTTAAAAAAGAATAAAAAAATTTCGATTTACGTATAACATTATTTTATAGAAGCTTGTGTTGTTAAAAATAGAAAAAAGAAAAATAAAATTTAATTTAATGGGAGCCAAATGGGTGCTAATCTTTCATGAATATTTTAAATATTGTTACCATGTCAACTGTATGTCAATGAGTATTAGTAATGTTAACATCGAAAAATGTACCACCAATGTAGCCAACAAGTAGTTAGACACGTGGCCTTCTCCAGTGGGGGTGGAGCTGACAGCACGCACTCCGACTGTCAAGTCAGTTTGGGAAAAAATATATTGAGTGTGGAAGGACTTTTAGCGTGAGCTTCCAATATAGAATAAAGGGGTCGATATTGGGAGTCAAATGAGTGTAGAGAGCAAAGTTATAATATCAAAATCTAAACTTGGATTACCTTTGAATGATACTAAGTGTGAGATAGTGAGTATAGACCGTCGGATGAGAGGACACATGGCCTTATCCTCTTAGGCTTAACTTTTCATCATGGGCATCAATCAATCACAGTGTATTAATACTAATCCTAACTTCCCTTCCATAAGTTACAGCTTGCGGCAGTAGACTTGACCAAATAGGTTGGTTGTGGCGACAGTAGCAGGGGGTTGTCACATCAATCATATCAGTAGATCTGATTCGGAGAGTCTTTGACCAAAGAGCCTCACCTCCCTTTTCTAAGGGGTTCGACGTTATGGGTTCGGTTAATACATGTGTTTGGTACATCTCATGGGTTCGTCAGATGATTCGATCGCGGATCCACACACGTGGGTTTCATCCATGTCGACCTAACTGTTAAGTGGAACCCAGATAGAGCCTCTGTTGGAGAAGGTATAACAATAGTCCCAGAAATCCATGTATAAATATTTATATAATGCATGAGCTTGTAAGTTGGGAGAAGGAAGGACGAAAAAAGGAACGCGGTATAACAAGTCCCCGAAGTCCATGTATGGATATTTATATAATGCATGGGCTTGTAAGGTGGGAGAAAGAAGGACGAAAAAAGAACACGGTGTACATGGCGGAAGCCGTAATGAGGCTTCGAAGGGAAGAGACGATGCCTTGGGGAGAAGCGAGCCTGTTATACTTGGTGGAAGTCGTAATGAGGCTTCCAAGGGAAAAGGCAATGCCTTAGGGGAGAGGCGAGCCTCTTACACTTGGTGGAAACCATAATGAGGCTTCCAATGGAAGATGCGATGCCTTGGGGAGAGGCCATCCTGTTATACTTGGTGGAAGCCGTAATGAGGCTTCCAAGGGAAAAGGCGATGCCTTGGGAGAGAGGCGAGCCTGTTATACTTGGTGGAAGCCGTAATGAGGCTTCCAAAGGAAGAGGCGATTCCTTGGGGAAAGGCCAGCCCATTATACTCAGCCAAAGTGATATATCACGTGAGACTGCTTCGGCAGTTTGAATGTTTTTGACATTTATTGCCACAAATTGTTATGCTGCCGTTTGGCCTTCTTGAAAAAAAGGTGTCTTATTTTCAGTGTATACTATTGGACATGCGTTATGATCTGGACCATGGAAGTTGAAGCGTCGGGTACAATAAATGGTTCAGATGTGGTCATAATTTGGACAACTCAGATCTTTGAGATCCGATGGTTGAAAATGCGTATGTTTGCCTTCAAAAAGGTTTATTTGCTTGGATATTCAATTGTTGACATAAATCATATAACATGTGTGTGTCTGTGGTGTGTTTAACGAATGCATTCGTACTTGGTGGATTTTGATGAGAGTTGGTGCAAGGGATTGTTTGGTTTCGGAAGATGCAATGGAGCGTATAAATTGGATAATCCCTGGGTATAATGTGTGGGACGCTCAGACCCGTGAAGATGAAAACATAGTTTCAACACAATCTTCTTTGAAGGCTCCGAGGGTAGCACGAAGCGCATCGAGTTGCCTACTAGTTCGAATAAATAATGTTACAATAGGGTGTGACCTCAACCCAAATTGCCCTTAGTGGCACTATGTGGATCCTCAAAGGTCGATACCGCCTTACCTTCCCTGAGCAGCTAGGCGATTTCTCTGCCAGAACGTTCTAGACAAAGTGTATTGTAGCTGCAATTTTGAGTTTTAACCTGTTCAAAGAGACCTCATAGTTGTAAAGGTTGTTGTACATGGCAGACGCCTCTCAAAAGGAAGAGGTCCCGTGACTTGTGTGTCTAATGTAGTTGTATTCTATAGCAGTGTTTTTAAGCTAAATGTAAACGGCGGATTGCCGTCAATTGTAAATATATGAAATAGATTTCGCTTTTTTGTGCGAATTTTGTGTTATGATTGAGTATGGTTTGTTGATGCATAATTGGGAGTTAAACTACTCTTTTTGTTGTCTTGGGCTTACAATCAAAGACATGTCTTTTGAAATGTATTTTTCAAAGTGCCTCTATGGGCTGATTTTCATAGAGATGCTCTTGGGCTAATTTTTCGTACATAATGGAAGCCATAATAAGACTTCAAAGAGGAGAAGCGAGCCTATCTTAGTGGAAGCCATAATAAGGCTTCAACAGAAGAGGCTATGCCTGTGGAGATGAGAGCCTATCGTGCTTAGTGGAAGCCGTAATAAGGCTTCAACGGAAGAGGCGATGCCTGTGGAGAGGCGGGCCTATCTTAGTAGAAGTTGTAATAAGGCTTCAACGGAAGAGGCGATGCCTGTGGAGAGGCGAGCCTATCATACTTAGTAAAAGCCATAATAAGGCTTCAACGGAAGATATGATGCCTGTGGAGAGGCGAGCCTATCGTACTTAGTGGAAGCCGTATTAAGGCTTCACCGTTCCCACTTGGCCGTTTGCCTGGGGGTGATGGGGGAGGAGAAATGATTTTTATCCTCAATTCTTCACATAAATCTCTAACCTTCCTGCTGTGGAACTGCCGATCGTTGTCTGATACAAACGAATGGGGAATTCCAAACCGACAAATAATATTTTTCCAAATAAATTTGGAAGTGTTAGTCTCAAAGATTTTTGCCAAAGGTTCAGCCTCAACCCATTTGGTGAAATAGTCAATGGCGACTATAACATAATTGGCACTCCCTCTCTCTTTCAAGAGGGGACCGATGAGGTAGATACCCTACGTGGCGAAGTGCTAGAGACTGGACATAACGGTCAATTCCTGAGTTGGCTACCTCTAAACAGATGGGAAGCGTTGGCACTTGTCACATTTCTTAATGAACTGGATGGCATCTTTCCTTAGCGTAGGCCAATAGTATCTTTGTCTTAGCACTTTATGCGCCAGAGCCGGCCCGATGGTATGGTTGCCGTAGATCCCCTCATGTATTTTCCAAAGCACATAGTTGGCTTCATCTCCACCTGTACATCGAATGAGAGGTGAAGAGAATCCTCTCTTATAAAGCACGTCCCCCCGAAGGACGTAATTAGTAGCTCTAGTCAGAGCTTGTGGACTTCGTCCTTGTTTTCTAGCACCGTTTGGGCCTGGAAGATGTTCTATCGGTACGACCTTGAGTAGCTCCGAATCTTTGCAATTGGCCAATTTTGACAGAGCATCGACGTGCGCATTTTCTGTCCTTGGGACCCGATTCAGCTCGAATGTTTCAAATTATGGGTATAGTTTCATGACTTTCTTTCGATAAGAAGCCATGTTTCTATCTCTTGTTACAAAATCGCCTCTAATATGGCTAACCACCAATTGCAAGTCAGAGTTAAAAAGTAACATTTTTACCTACATTTCCTTTGAAAGCCTAAGGCCGCTAGCAATGCCTCGTATTCAGCCGCACTTTTTCAGGCCTGAAAGCCTAACCTAATGGCACAGTTAAGTTTGTGTCCCTCCGAGCTTATCAAGACAATTCTAGCCCCCAAGCCTATGTCACCAGAGGATCCATCAAAAAATAGTTCCAAGCTAGGGAGTCGGATGGTTCTGTGTCCATGCTAGTATCTTAGGCTTCAGCAAACTCCACAATAAAGTCTGCAAGTGCTTGGCCCTTGATTGAGGCCCTTGGTTTGTACGAGATATCAAACTCGCTCAGTTCCACAGCCCATTTCATTAGCCTACCCGAGGCATCTGGCTTTCGTAATATTTGCTTAAGGGGTAGGGTCGTCAACATTTGTATGCTGTGGGCTTGAAAGTATGACCTCAACTTTTGGAAGCAATCATCAGGGAGAAAGCTAGTTTATCTATATCAGTGTATTTCGATTTGACCAACGAGAGGCCTTGCTAACATAATATACCGACAGCTGCCTGCCATCCTCCTCTTTTACTAGTACCAAACTTACGGCTTCTGCTGATGCTGCAAAGTACAAAATCATAGCCTCTCCTTCTTTAGGCTTCGAGATGAAGAGGGCTTCCCCCAAAGTACTTCTTCAGCCTTTGGAGGGCCGTCTCACACTCCTCACTCCATTGGAATTTCTTCCCCCCTTTGAAGATTTTGAAAAAGGGGAAGCACCTATCCGTTGCTTTGGAAATGAATCGGTTAAGGGCAGCTCAT